AGCTGTACCAGAAAGGTTACCCATGCCTCCCACACCCTCATACCATTCATTCCAGCTCCTTTTCAGCAGCTATGGTAATGCTTCTTAAGCTAAAGAACCCCTAATCAACACAGCAAGATCCAAAACAAGAGTTACAGAACGGCTGGGACTGCCACTCAGCTCTGAGAGAGAGCAACTGGGTCAAACCATGAGATCTGCTCCAGGCAGAGCCTTATTCCCTTCTGAAACACAGCACAGAATGGGAACCAAGCTGCAAAGCCAGCACCTGCCTGCACTGCACTTGCTCAATTCCTGCTCCTTACGTCCCCCTCAATGACATTCAAAGCACAGTAGTGCCAGAGAAGGGAGGTTATCAGTGCTGCATGCCAAAGTATTTGTTTATTTTGTGTCTATTGAGAGAGCTGCAGGCGTCCTCCCTCCACTGAGTTGATAGAAAGGACGCCTGGAGAACGCTGACATTGCCTTGCAAAGGGCAGAACTCCATCGAGTTCACACTTCAGTACTTTGTGTGGAGGAGAATAAGAAAAAGCAATTTGCTCTGATGAACAAAACAAAGCAGAAGTGAATGAGCGAAGGCTGTGGGAAGCTGGAACCTCCCTGGACAGCCCTCTGTGCCCATGCTTGATGCCAGCAAAGTACAGGGCAGACTTTGCTCTGCATCGTGTAGTTTCTAGGAGCTACCTGTATTGCATAGGCAAATTTTAGCTGCAAACAACCAGCGCTGTCAGCCACTCCAAAACACAAGCCGTGGCTCTGGCCAGCACCCAGGTCACAGCACAGGGCTCAGCAGCAGCCCCTGATGCTCTGTGCCATCACAGCAGCTACGTGATGGTGGAAGGAACAGGCTGCAAACAGGAAAGCAAGAGCAAATCAATGTTAATGATGGGGAATACCATCAGTTTTCCCAGGAGCACCAAAGTAGCATTTTTCCATGCTTCTCCCTTGGTCCCAACACAAAGAAAGGAGCCCATGCCAACTGGCTGGCTGTAAGCACGAGGCTCTGCATGTAAACACATCACAGCCTGACACAGCCCCTAATGACAGCTATGTGCTAATTAGGACTTCACAAGCTTTGTTAACAAACACGACCCAGACCTGGCTCTGACCAAACCGGTGTGAACAGCACAGGAGGAAGGTGACTCAGTGCTTGTTCTCAAACCACATCACAAAGTGCTGGTGCTGTCCCAAGCTCCAGGAACCACCCCAGGGCTTTCAGGACACCGCACAGCTGTGTACGTCCAAAGGTGTAAGTATGACACAGAGCTGCACAGCCTATTAAAGGAGACACCTTCCTGCTCACAGCCTAACAGCCAGCAGTGACAGGAGCCCATATAACGCCGAATTATCTGCTCTTACACGCAATTAAGCTCCGCTAAGCATTCATTAAGACAAATCCATGTGTGCTGGCAGCACTGTGCTTTCGTTCCCTGCCTGAACTAAGTCTCAACTGAGACAGGGGAGGTTTGGGTTGGATATTAGGAGGAAGTTTTTCACCCAGAGGGTGGTGAGGCGCTGGAACAGGTTGCCCAAGGAGGTTGTGGATGTCTCTGCAGGCATTCAAAGCCAGGCTGGATGTGGCTCTGGGCAGCCTGGTCTGCTGGTTGGCCACCCTGCACATAGCAGGGGATTGGAACTGGATGAACAATGTGCTGCCAACACACAGAGCTTCTCCAGATAACTTCATCCCTCTCACCGTGACCTGCAGGCTCTCACATGTAAATATTTAAAGAGGAAAGCTGAGCACAGCCCTGAGGTGATCGCTCGGATCACCAGCAGTGCCACAGCAGCGGGGCTCAGATCCCCATTGCCCCCCACATCATCAGATCCCAATGCAGCCCTACAGGATGGATGCCACCATTCCCTCAGGCATTCCCAGCAGCGCCCTCAGCTCCTCCCTAAAGGGCACCCAGAACCACTCAAATCCCTTCAAGAGCCCCCTGGGAGCCTTCACAGAATGGCCAGGGTTAGAAGGAACCTCAAGGATCACAAATCTCCAACCTCCTACCACACGCAGGGCCACCAACCTCCCCATTTAACACCAACCCAGGCTGCCCAGAACCCCATCCAACCTGGCCTTGAACACCTCCAGGGATGGATGGGGCATCACAGCCTCTCTGGGCAGCTGTTCCAGCACCTCACTGCTCTCATGGCAAAGAACTTCCCCCTGACATCCAACCTAAATCTTCCCTCCTCAACATCAAACCATTTCCCCTTGTCCTGCTTTCATCTCCCCTTTCAAAGAGTTGATTCCCCTCCTGTTTGCAGGCTCCCTTTAGGTACTGAAGGCTGCAATGAGGTCACCCCGCAGCCTTCTTTTCTCCATGCTGAACAAGCCCAACTCCCTCAGCCTGTCTTCATTGTGGAGGTGCTCCAGCCCCCTGACCATCTCTGTGGCTCCTCTGCACCCTCTCCAGCAGCTCCCTGTCCTTCTTGTCCTGGGGGCTCCAGCCCTGGACGCAGTGCTGCAGATGGGGCCCCACAGGAGCAGAGCAGAGGGGGACGATCGCCTCCCTGTCCCTGCTGCCCCCTCTCTGCTGTGGCCCAGGATCCCATTTGCTTTCCGAGCTGTAATCACACACTGCTGGCTCATGTTAAGCTTTTCACCCATCAAGACCCCCAGGTCGTTCTCTGCCGGGCTGCTCTCAAGGACCGCTCCTTCCAGTCCGTATTGATGCCTGCCATCCCACCGGCCCAAGTGCCAAACCTTGCACTCTGCCGTGTTGTGGTTCATCCTCCAAGCCTACTGAGGTCCCTCTGAACGGCATCCCATCCACCACTCAGCTCGGTGTCATCAGCAAACCCGCTGAGGCTCCTCCCAACGACCCCCCCCCCCCCCCCCAGGGCCCGCAGTGCCACCGCCGGTCTCTCCGTCCCCTCACCTGCAATGCCTCCGCCCTCCGTCCTCCCTCAGCGCCGCCAGATCGACTTCGGCGCGGCCCAGGAACTTATCGAGGCCGACGAGCGCTCGGTGCAGCACGGTGAGGCGCAGCGCTGCGGGTCGAGGCGGCGGCGGCAGTTCGAACGTCGCCTCCTCCCTCCACAACGGCTGCCCCTGGCATCGCTCCGCCACCGACGTGGAGAACTTGTCGCGGCCCAACGCCATGACGGCGTAAGCATCGCTGCCGCCATGCCCGTCGGCCGCTTTGGAGCGCAGCCCCCGCGCCTGAAGCACCGTCACCTGGACGTGGGTCGGCACCCAGCGCGGGGCCGCCGCCGCCGCCGCCATGGCGGGCGGTGCGGAGCGATGAAGAGCCGGAAGCTCCCGACGCGGTGTGGCGTGAGCCACGCCCTCGATCTCGCGAGATATGCGGTGTGGGCGGGGCTTGGCGAAAGGGGGTGTGGTCTCGTTGTGGGCGGGGCTTGAGAGTGCGGTGTGCAGGTGTGTGTATATAAAGGTGTGTGCGCATATAAAGGTGTATGTGTGCATATAGAGGTGTGTGAGTGCAGGTGTGTGCATATAGAGGTGTGTGTGTGCATATAGAGGTGTGTGTGTGCAGGTGTGTGCATATAGAGGTGTGTGTGTGTGCATATAGAGGTGTGTGTGTGTGCATATAGAGGTGTGTGTGCAGGTGTGTGCACATAGAGGTGTGTGTGTGTGCACATAGAGGTATGTGTGTGCAGGTGTGTGCACATAGAGGTGTGTGTGTGTGCACATAGAGGTGTGTGTGTGTGCACATAGAGGTGTGTGTGTGCAGGTGTGTGCACATAGAGGTGTGTGTGTGTGCATATAGAGGTGTGTGAGTGCAGGTGTGTGAGTGCATATAGAGGTGTGTGAGTGCATATAAAGGTGTGTGAGTGCAGGTGTGTGCACATAGAGGTGTGTGCACATAGAGGTGTGTGTGCACATAGAGTCGTGTGAGTGCATATAGAAGTGTGTGTGCGTTTGCATATAAAGATGTGTGAGTACATGTGTGTGAGCACAGGTGTGCATGTGTGTGCATACAGATGTGTTCATAAAGGGCACAGGTTTGTGTGTGTGCATATAGGGGTATGTGTGTAGGTACACGTGTCCACACAGGAATATGTTTGTGCACAGGTGCATGGCAGGAATGTTTCCAACCCCTTCTTCACCCATCCCTGCCACCAGGAGCACCTATTTCTCCTCCTTTTCGTCCTCCTCCACCCCCAGAACCCACCTGGGCTGTGAGCCCCACATTGACCCCCATACTATCCATCCCCACTACCTATTTTACCCCCAGATTCAGCCCCCAGGCTGCACATGGGTCGCCCCACCTGTGCCCACACTTCTGCCCTCCCCTCTGGGCCATGGCTGAGCACAGCCCCTCCAGCAGCTGGAATTTAGTATGAAAACAGCAGTTTTGGAGCTGTGTCCCTGCCTTGGAGAGCAGAACCCATCAGCTATAAATAGCCAGCTCCATTAGGTACACAATGTGCAATCACAGGCGGTGCAAATTGAGGCTCAAGCCCTCAGCAAATTGCACCCAGTGGCCAAATGAGCCAGGGAAGGGTCAGCATGGCTTCTGCTGCCCACAGCTGCCTGGAATGGGGACAGCTCCAACGGTGTGGGTTGTAGGGACAAGGAGCTGCACCTGAGAGCACCTTTTGGTACCCAACAGGGCTGGAAGGAAGATGGGGACCAACGCTTCAGCAGGGTCTGTTGTGACAGGACAAAGGGGAAACAGTTTCGAGCTAAAAGAGGGAGATTTAGGCTGAGTATAAGGAAAAAGCTGCTTACAGCAAGGGTGGGGAGGCGCTGGCACAGCTAACCCAGAGAGGTGCAACCTAGAGACATTCAAGGTCAGTCAGCATGGGGCTCTGAGCATCTGATGGAGCTGTGGGCACCCCACTTCATAGCAGAGGAGTTGGACCAGATGGCCTTTAAGGGTCCCTTCCAGCTCAAATGACCCTATGACTCCATGATTCCATGACCCCAAGCACAGCTCCATGCGTGCAGGGCACACACTGCCAGCTTGCTGGTACGCATAGAGACACGCCAGGTGTGACCACCTCATGCAAAATTCCATTCTCAACACCCAATCCTGGATTTAATGGAAGTCATACTATTAAATTAACACGACAGGCAGCTAATCACAACCCAACCAAACTCCTCCTGGCTTTCCCAGGGCCTTATTTCATTCATTCAGGACTACAACACCCCAGTGCCGGAGCCAAGCTCAGAGCACAGCAGCAGCACAGTGGCTGGCAGGGAGGATTCGTGGCTCACAGGAGAACATCTTGCGCAGCTCCCCACGGAAGCGGTCGTGCAGCCAGGCGTAGAGGAAAGGGTTGCAGCAGGCGGAGCTCATAGCAAACCAGTGGCACAGCAGCTGGATGAGCAGGAAATAATGCTTGTCGATGAGGTCGATGTCGATGTCACGGATGATGTTGAAGACGTGGATGGGCAGCCAGCACACCCCGAAAGCAGCCACCACCAGCACGATGAGGCGGAAAATCTTCCTCTTCCTCAAGCGGTCAGACTGAGCTTGGCTCTGCGTGGGATGCCCGGGCACCACGCGGTTCCGCAGCTTCACGGAGATGCAGAGGTAAGACAGAGAGACAGCAGAGAGAGGCAGGATGTAGGTGACAATCAGCGTGCTGTAGGCGTAGGCCAGGCGCTGCTCCTCCTGCTCCATCCAGAACTCCTCGCAGATGGCAAAGCCCTGCTGCTGGAACTCCACGTGGTACGTGTGGGCCACAGCAGGGGCCACCAGAGCACAGGACAGCAGCCAGATGGCCCCCACCACGTAGATGCAGCTGGTGAGCGACAGGCGCTTCTTCAGGGGGTGCACAGTGGCATAGTACCTATGAGAGAGAGCACCCATAGCCCTTAAAGTGTGGGGATGGAGGGTTAGGGAGCGTTTCCCACCTCAGATCATCATCACGGCAAGGCTGGGATTTCATGTGGCTCCTTCCCATTCTATCCTGCATGACAGCTGTGCCTCACTGAGGGAGAAACTGAACCTTCTGCCTGCGGTCAGGGCACAGCCACTGAGCTGGGCATGGGCTGGGAGCGCAGCAGAGCTCCAGCCAGGGTGTGCCACAGCCAAAGGGACTGGGATGAAACCACACAAGATGAAGCTCAGCAATGATTCACGGTGAGGACCGTGGATGCCTCTGTAGTAGGAAGAGCTCAAATTTCTGCTTCCATCCCCAAAAAGCAGCTTTGATGAAGAGCAAAAGAACAGGGCAAGCTCATGCAAGTTATACCTCAAACCCACCAGCACAGAAGCTCAGCTCCACAGAGTTTTCTCAGCTATTCCACCTCATCCTCCCTTGGTTCTGCCTTTCCCCTTTGCTCTAGGGCTCTCTCTCCCAATATCAGTGGTTTGGGCTCTGCCTGGCTTGTGCAGCTTCTCTGATGAAGCCATGTATTTATGGAAACACAGTTTTCATACATTCCCTCCTCCTCCCCCCCACTACCATCAGGTCCTGCCTGTGTCCATTTCAGAAAGCACAAGCACTCTCCATCCAGGTGACAGAACACAATGTAATTTTGGTGCAAATTGGTGCAGCAAAGGATGAAAACCCGGGAGGAAAATCTCTCTGCTCTGAGGTGGAGGAAGAAGGCTGCGCAGGGGCACTTTGCTGGAGCCCATCCCTGCTGTGCTCAGATAGAGCTGGTGGCATGGGAACATTGCAGACCCAGGCGTCAGCTCCATTGGCACAGTCACAGCAGTGCCACCACCATTGATTTGAGCATAGTAAAGTTGCCGGGACAGCACAGCCTCCCATTTTAGGTCCATGGAACTTTTATTTGGGGGCAAATCTGCACATTTCTAAACCACAGGCATCACCAGAGAAGGCAACATCCAGCCTGAGCTCAGAACAGGGGCACTGCTGCCCAGTGACAAAGCCCCTGGATGCCCACACCCAGTATGGTAGCATTGCCCACTGTGTAGTGCAAACAGCACCAGAAGTGCTACAGCTGGGAGCATGAACCCATCAAACAGCAGCTCTTCTGTAGCACCCATGCAGCAGAAGCCCTGGGATTTTCCTTTTCCAGCTCTGTGCCCAGCACTGAACACCCTGAGCTGCACCACCGAGCAGCATCAGCCCCATCCTGCCCACGGTGGGGACCCCGTGCCACCCCCATGTCCCCTTACCTATCAACTGCGATGGCCGTGAGTGTGAACACAGAGACATAGACTGTCATGGGCTGCATCAGGAACACAAAGTAGCACAGGAACTTCCCAAAAATCCATCCCTGCGGATTGAAGGCGTACGCCAGGGTGAAGGGCACGCAGGTGGCACACATCAACATGTCCGAGAAGGCCAGGTTCCCAATGAAGAAATTGGTGACGTTGTGCATCTTCTTGCTCTTGCAGATGACGTAGAGCAGCAGGTAGTTGCCGAAGATGCCGATCAGGACCACCAGGGCATAGCAGGGGATGATGAGGGGCTTGAAGGACTGGATGAGCTGAACCCCAGTGAACTGTGTGCTGCCGTTGGGGCGGCTCTGCAGGGCCAGCCCAGAGGAGCTGGCATTGGCACCATCGCCACCGGGCTCCATGGCCTCTTTGGGGTGGCTGTAGGATATCCCAGGACCCCAAAACCCAATGGCTCAGGTGGCTCCGATGGACATGCCCTGAGCCTGAGTTCTCCACTGCAGCCTGCTGGCAAGGGAATGGTGTGCAAGGGGGTCAGAAGAGAGGCAGTGCCAGCAAGCAGCCCCTCAGGGATGGCAGCACAAAGTGGAACAGCTCCACGGAGGGAAGAGAAAGGAGAAAGAGGAGCTCTTGGCCCCAAAGCTGGGAGGGATGCACTCACCTCAGCCCGGGCTCAGCAGCAGAACACGGAGCACTCCGGCGGCACTGCAGGAGGGAATCGCAGCTCCGCCAGAAAGGAGCTCCTAATGCTTCTGGAAATCACAAAGGACGTTAATGGGTAAACGAATAAGGATGCTCTGCTACTTTTGCACTGTTGCAGCCCTGCGCGCCTGCACTCCGCTCATCCGTCCCCGTAACGAGATTAGCCAGGCAATCCAAACGTCAGGGCTGGCAGCAGCCGGGCTGCACCGCTCCTCTGCTGCGATCCGAGAGGCTGCACTGAGGGTAACCCGCCATCCTCCCCGAAGCCACTCCGGACTTTCGTTCAATCAGCTGCAAAGGGAAAGAGAGGAACGGGGAGGGGAGGGAAGGAGGGAACTCACCGGCGCCGGCTCTGCCCATGGGGAGAGAATCCCCAGCACAGCACAGCTTCCCCCCCAACTGAATCATCTCAAACCACACCGCAGGCAAACTTTAATTTCCTGAGCTATTTCCACACATCGCCTCCCACTCTTCCTCCACACAGAGCTCACAGCTCTGACCGTTTCTCCCCGTATCAGCTGTCGTTTGGCTCTCGAGTCCGACTAAGTGAAGAAAAACCCACTCCAAAGACTTCAGAAGTCTGTGCTGTGTGCTGAATGAACTGCTCAGGGCTCCTATTGGTGTCAGCCCCAACCTTCACCTGCACCCAGTGCCACCCTCACAGTGACACAGATGGGACCACACACCTCACACTGGGGCACCAGGAAGGTGCAGAGCCCAGCACCCTGCTCACTCCTCTTTGGTTCCCATGGCACTGAGTGCCATCTATTACTTACCTGGCAGTTGCCATGGTTATGCCAAAGCCCTCTCTGTGTTGCAGGATGCGGCCATAGGAGGGGTGAAGGCATGGCCAAGCACAGCCCTCCTGTTTCAGGGCACAGCTGCAGCCATGCAGGGACCACACTGCTTTTGCAGCCAGGTCTAATTGATGGCTCATGGTTTGTGCAGAGTGAGTTCTGTCCCCACAACCCCGTGGGGCAGAGAGCTGCTCCTTTCAGGGTACCACAGCAAGACAAGGAGCTGCATCACCATCTAACTGCACTTTACCTGTTTGCTTCTCCTGTCAGCACACAACAGGAGAAACTGTCACCCTTTGATTGATTTTTGTTAGAGCAGCAAGGATGGCTCCCACACAGGGCTGGGGTATTAAAACCCAGAGTAGGGAAGGTGAGTGGGGATGCACTGCTGTGCCCAGCGGGCATCTTTGCAAACTCATCCCATTGCTGTCAGCCCAGTGTGCCACCAACCCACACCCAGCTCCGCTCCTCATTCCGCTGCAGAGAAATTCCCAGCCAGCTGCTATCATGCAAATAACTGATTTGGGCAATTTTCCTCAATTAGGAGCTTTAATTTGATTACTTCAATGGCTGCTTGTTCTGAACGGACTTTGGCTGCATCTCCCTGGGCTGCTGTGAAGGCTGCAACGTAACTTTACTCTGTTTATCCAAGCAATTGCCAGAGTAATTCCTACTGGAACAAAACCACCATTATGACTGCAGATGGATTGGCAAAAGGGCTGCACAGGGGGGACACAACACACACATTTTAAGACCATCTGGGAGGTGCCAGTGTAGGGAAGGGGCAATGGTGCTCAATAGGATGCTCTGAGACCCACAGCTCAGCAGCACAACCCACAGCATCTCAGCAGCAGCACAATCAGAACACGACTGAGATGGAGAGAAGGATCTATCCAAAGCAGAAGCCCGTTGTGTCCTTGTGTAAGGATCCATCCCATCCAGAGCTGCAACTATTCTCCATCCTGCACTGCCCTGGCATCGTCCTCATCATCTCCATCCATATCCAACAGCTCTTCCTTGTGGACTTTGCACTTGGGGACATCTTCCACTATGGGGAGAAGCATAGTCAGGCCCAGCACCCTGTTGTGGGTGCTTTCTACAGGGCAGGACTCCCCATCCCCAGGGCAGAAGCTGTCACAAAGCCGCTGCAGGACCATCCCTGCTGATATCCAGCCCCATAGCCCAGTTGGGACTCACAGGTAACGTGCTGCCCGCTGAGATAAACCGGTCCAGTTCCACACTGCAGCATGAAGGTGACAGGAGGGACAAACTCCAGACCTTTGAGACTGATCTGCAAAGAGCCAAAGCTCAGAGCAACCCCCCAGATCCACCCAGCCTCCACAACAGCCACAGGACAGGAGATGCTCTGCAGCACAGAGCGCTTTGCAGGCACAACCTGGACAATTCCAGAGCTGGAAAAAGCCCACAGATTACCCAGGGTGAATCATTCCTTGTTCTTACCATGGGGAGCACTGAGACACGCAGGGATGCGATGGGCACCGGTTTGTGGTCTCCGTAGGTGTTCTTGGACTCCACAGCCACCACGTGCAACTCATCCCTGGCATTGGCCCCCAGGGAGATCTGTGGGTTGGGCAGAGCCCCTATGACAGAGCAGAGGCCCTACAGTGGGGCAGCAAGGTGATAACAGCAAACCCCACACCTTACCGTCTTCAGCAGGACCAGGTGCTCTAGGAAGTCATCGTCCTCCTTCACCACGCAGCTCTGGCTGTTCACACCCAGCTCACAGCCTGTGGACACACAGCCCAGTCCCTGCGTGCACCAGCTGCAAACCTCAGGGGTGCAGAAAGCAAAGGGAAAAAGCATCCCTTGCTGCCCCCCTGCAATGCACTGGAGGCTGCTGCTCACCCCATAGCACAGCAGCTGTCCTGTCCTCTGACAGCAACCTGAGAGCAGGGGAAGAGCTGCTCATCCTGCACAGCACCAGGAACCAGGCCCTACAGAACAAGCACCAGAGAAAGCAGCCTTCAGCTGGCCTGTAATTGTAACAGGGGGAAGAAAAGTGACTTTAGAATGCTTAGAGAAGGTTCCCAAAGTCCAGAGCCAGGGCAGCATTATGCTGGCAGCTGCCACCAGTACAGTTTGCTTTCTGCAAGAGTTGGAGGCAGCTAGAGCAATGCCTTGTTAGCTGGGATAGCACTGTTAAATGAGAAATAAATCCACAGTGACAGCATTAAGAACAGCACAGCCTATTGAAGGAGACTCCTCCAGCACTAAGGTCTCAATGAAAACCAACCCCAGCCCCAAGCATTGCCCTGCAGCCCCCACCTGGCCAGAAAAAGCACCGAACACGAGCTCCCCTTGTGCTGCAAATAAAGAGCAGGCAGCCCATCAGCGCTGTAATTCGGAAATGCAGCGCAGGTGCTGCGGAGGACAAATAGAGGCTCTCAGGTGCTGTCAGTGCATCCTTAGATGCATCCTCTTTTGCTCAGCGCTCGAGGCGGCTGCAGAAAGCAGTGAAGAGCTACAACTGGTTCGAAGCTGCAGGACCGCCCCGGCGGATTTGTTTTTCTCTTTATTCCCGTTACACGTTACGAGTTCCGCGCAGCGCCGGGAGGTGGCACTGAGGCTCCGGATGGTGGCCGTGGCTCTGCTCAGACCCCGCAGCCTGATTCCAAATGTGAATGGGGCGATGCGGCTGTTTGCTGGGCCGGCAAACCCTAGGATGGGGCGCAGAGCCTCCCTGGGGCTGTGAGCAGCACAGAGGCTGTGCCCGGTCCTTGGGAGGGACCCCCAGGTGCTATGGGGATGGGTGCCCGTGGGCATCCAGCCTCAGGCAGCCCCCTACCCTTAGGAAGGGCAAGGCGCCGGTGATGCAGGTGAAAGCTGCCGAGTGATTCCAGAGGTTTATTTCACACAAAAGCATTACAGTCACCACGACGCACGTTTACAACCGATATCATCCCCCAAGTCCCAGCGAGGTGGGACGGTGCGGTCACAAACACCCGTGTTTGCACAGCGCCCTCTGTGCCGCTGTGCTCCGTGCTGTGCATGGAACGGCCGTGCAGCGGTGCGGTGCTGCTGCCTGTTCCTACAGCACGCAGAGGCTTCAGAGCAGAGCATCGCTGCCAGAACCCACAGCATCGTGCAGGGCTCTGGGGAAAGCCTCTCCCGCAGCACTCTTTATCCCTCGCTCCTCTCCTGCCTGTGCTTTTCCCTTGCTGTGGCTCCCAGCATCACACCCGGCTCCGGGAGCTCACTGCAGTGTTTGGGGCAGGACCCAGTGCAGATCACGGAGCAATTTCTTGCCAGCAGGAGATCCTCTTTTCCTTTGCCAACGACACAACCTGGGAAGATGGGGTCCCGTGGGCGAGCAGAGCTGCTGGTCACCACGTCCCAGTGCCAATCCATCTGGGGTGGCAGTGTCCCCATCCCCAGAAGCTGTGCTGGAACCTCATCGTGAAGGTCTCAGGATCTTTTTGCTGCTGCCTTTATCTCTCCAGCACCAGAGGAGCCCCTTTGCTCTCCGTGTGGGTGCGTGCACCAGAGGGTCCTTCCAGCGTTGTACCCTCAGTGCCACTCCTCCTTCCCCACACAGCATCCCCGTCCCAACATCTGCAAGAAGACAGCAGGAGCTGACGGTGTGCATCCCCCCAGCATCACAACTCTGGGGATGCAAAGCAACCACTCCAGGAGCTGAGCCCCTGGAAGGAGAGAGTGCAAAGGAGGGTCTTGGCCTCAGCAGCAGCATGCAAGCACTGCAGAGCAAGCTGCTCTGAAGGGGGTTAAGCACTCTGGGCAGCACAGAAACGTGTCAGTAGACGCCTGCGTCAGCTCACATGCCCGATGCAGGCACATGGCTGTGACCCAGCCAAGGGCTGAGCTCCCCCAGGGAAGGGGACAGCCAAGCTGGTCAGAGGGGACTGCTGCAGAGACAGGGGTGGCCCTGCTGCAGCCACACATTGGGGTCTCCTGTGGAACACACACTTACAGTGCTCCCTGCTCTGCTGCATTCCCAGTCAGACCGAGGGACCCGCTGGCATCTCTCTGCTGGTGAACCTTAAATGAGAGAGCATAGAGAGTAAAGAGCCCACATCCTCCCCATAACAGCAGGGGCTCCCTGAAGTCATCGGGAGTGAGGGGAGAAGGGAAAAGATCCCAGGCACAGGAACACACTCCTGGTGTCCCAGCAGCGTTTTACTACCTGAGGAAATGAACCTCATTCCGGTTGTTGGGGCACTCCCAGAAAGGGACAAAGTGCCCAGGGAGGCACAAAGAACCTCAGCTCTGCAGCCTGGCAGAGGGCTTTAGGGAAGCCCAAAGGCATTGGGCAGCAGTTCCCATTCTATACCCCATCCCAGTGCTCACCAACTCTGCATTCATCAGACCACAGCCCCATCACCAGCAGTCCCCCAGAACAGCACCCTGCACCCCAAGCACGCACACAGTACTCACTCATCCAGCTGCTCGCACAGCCTGCTCTGCGTGCCCTGCAGCCAGCACTCGCCCACAGGCCGCTGCTGGTGGCCACCAGCATGGGATGAGGCATTCTCCTCCCTCCTGCCGCTCCCCTGCACCTCGCTGTCCTCCCTGAGCTGCCCGGGGTCCACAGCCTTGCCGTCCTCCACAGGGTCCCCCCGGGGGCTGAAGGCACAGGAGCAGTGCTGTGGGTCCTGTGGGGCAGCGTGCAGCCGGCGGTCGGCGCGGCGCGGGCAGCAAAGCAGCTTGCGGAAAGCGCTCCTGAAGTCGGGGCTGCGGCAGTAGATGATGGGATTGAAGGCTGAGTTGACGTAGCCCAACCAATTGAGGAAGAGGAACAGCTGGTCGGGCACCAGCGGCCGGCAGAACACCTTGATGATGTTGGCCACGAAGAAGGGCAGCCAGCAGAGCGTGAAGGTGCCCATGATGATGCCCAAGGTCTTGAGCGCCTTGTGCTCCTTGATGGCCAACAGGCGGGAGGGCCGACGCCGCCGCCCTCCCCTGGAGCTGAGGCTGGGGTTCTCCTGCAGGAACCTCACCTTGTCCTTGCCAATGAGCTGGACGTGGCGTGTGGCCACAGCAAAGACACGGACGTAGACGAAGATCATGACGAGCAGCGGCACGTAGAAGGAGACGGTGGAGGAGACGATGGCGTAGGTCATGTTGGTGACAAAGTCACAGCAGCGTGGATCATCGTAACAGCGCACCGCCTGCTCGTCCGCCCCGTCCCGCCACCAGTGGTTCATGATGGGCAGGAAGGAGATGAAGGCAGAGATGGCCCACACCATGCACACCACAGCCCACGCTCTGCCCTTGGTCACCAGCGCCTCGTACTGCAGCGGTGCCGTGATGGCCAGGTAGCGATCCACGGCGATGGCGCACAGCGTCTCGATGCTCGCCGTCACACACAGCACGTCCAGAGAGGTCCACAGCTCACACACCACCGTCCCGTAGGGCCAGTGGCCGCTCAGCAGGATGGTGGCCCCCGGTGGCACCACCAGCAAGCCCATGACCAGGTCGGCGCAGGCCAACGAGGTGACAAAGACGTTGGTCATGGTCTGCAGCCGCGGCGTCTTGGCGATGGCCACGATGACCAGCAGGTTGCCGGCCACGATGACCAGAATGGTGATGCTCAGGGCGGCTCCCACCGCCCACTGCCGGCTCAGAACGGCGGCCCAGCTGCAATTAGGGACGGTGCCGTTGCCTGCGGGAAGCGGGGTCATCGCTTCGGCGGGGGGGCGGGGAGGGAGGCCGCCCAGCTCCGTGCACTCCTTTGCCCCCCGTGCGCTCCACGGCTGCCGGGGCCGGAGCGGGGCTCGGGGCGGCCGTCGCCGTCGAGGCTGCACCGACGTCGGACTCCGTCCGCGGCCGCTACTCGGAGGAGGAGCCTTTAAAGGCACGGGGCGGCCCCGGGCTGCCCCTTTGCGGAGATCAATGAAAGCAGAGCGGGAGCACCGCCTCCCCCCTGCCCCCGGGCCGGATACCCCCGACACTGCGCAGCCGGACCCAACTGCGCCCCTCACCCCACTCGCCCTTATTCTCCCAGTACACGGCTCCTAGTTCCTCACTGTGCATCCTGCCCTGCATCCCAGCTCTTTGCTCCGTGCTCCTCTCTGTTCTCCTCGCATTCCAGGGTACGCAGTGAAGACACCGACCCGACTGCCATCAGAACAGGGATGGCAAAATGACAGCCTCACCCCAAAGAAATCATCCCACAGCCGCTCTTTCACCCCCCCATTTAATGCCCGAACCCTTTCCCCAGCTTCTGTAACCATGCACTGCTACCCCCTTAAGTTTGAGTCAGTGCTGGTGATTTTGGGATCCCCATAATCCATCCTTTGGGATGCCCAGGGAGTTGTGCACCGTGCTGCTCCCATCCCTGCCCCTGTTCCCAGTGCTGCTCCTTCCGAAGGCCCCTGGGCAGACTCCAGGGCAGGGCAATTTTTTCACTATCAGCTATTTATACAAATACTGGAACTTCTAAGACGGGCGCTCTCCAAATATGGCATTTTGAAGTTTCGGCCAAATGGGGGGAATGTTGACAAAGAAGGAAAGGAAATGTGTAAAAAATTATCCAGTTGGCATTTCTTCCCATTCATGAGCTAGCAAAACAGAGCCCGCTTTTTTTACAAGCTTTATCTTTACAAGGCTGTTTGGGTTCTTCAAAGCGGTCAGATGAACTCTTGATGCAAACAACCCCTTCAGCTCCAGCTCTGGCACTAATTGCTGGCACAGGCTGAGTTCTGAGCTTACTATTTCCAGTGTGAGGTGTCACTGGGCTCAAACGATGCATGGCATGAGCAAAACGTGCAGAGGGAGAGCCACAATCTTCTTAGTGTGATGGCACACGTAACCCCAGTGTGTGTTGGCACGTGGAGCCATAATGAGTGTGTATGAAAGAATAAAGAAGTGCAGTGGGAATGGCAGTGGATAACAGAAAATGAAGGCTTTTGGGTGTTTTACTGCATGTTCATGGCACGCTCTGACCACCTGCCTGCTGCCATGTGGATCCTTCCCTCACCTATATGAGATCCTTCACCTATATGAGATCCCTCACCTATATGAGATCCTTCCTCCTGAGCCTTCCTCCTGAAAACACTGAGTGTGGCTCAGTGTTTTCATCCCACTTCTGCAGCTGGAAAAGCTGAAGCCCAGATGGCTGCTCCACCAGCACAGCATTCGGCTCCTGGCAACAAGCAGGAACCCACCAGCAAAGAGGCTGGAAATGCCTCTTGCAAAACAGAGATCCTGCACAGCTCTCTCTTGCTTTCTCTTCCTGCCCCCTTTGTCTCCTTGCTGTCCCCCTCCAAGGCCCAGCAGCCACCATGGCATGTGTCCCCTCTGCCACCTCTGCCATGTGCCACCTGCACAGTGCTGAGCAGTGGGAGCCCTGCCAGCCACGGGGACCCATGGGGTCAAGTGGCTGTTTGGAAAACTCTGGGAAAATATGTTTATGCCACAGATCAGAGCAGCTCCCTTGGCTGTTGCTACAGAATAAACAATGGATGTTTTAAAAATACATCTTTATAGATAGAGACAGGATGGATTAGAGAAGATCCCTTCTTGGAGAGAGCAGAATTGCAGTGGGAACAGGCAGAGCAGCACAGCTCTGTGCTCTGGGAGCTACCAGCACCCATGGGTGTGTTTGGAGGGGAGAAGCCCTCACCTGGTCCTGACAGTCTGGGCACAGTGGCACTGCTGCCTATGGGGATGTAGAGCCAGCTAGCTCCTGTCCTGCAGCCTTCCCCCATGCCAAGGAGGCAGCGTGCACACAGCAAGCCCTAACAATGTGTGTAAG